TCTCAAAACTTCACTGTACAGAAAACAGTGATATAAATATTTTTTGTAGATGTCATCAGTCTATGTGCCATTCTAAAGGAACACCTCAGTAGATACACATTATAGGGGCCGAGGCATTTAACAAAGATTAACTGACATTGCTGTGTGTAAAGTGTAAAGATACACCCAACACATGTACAGTAGACGCTGCTGTCTACAGTGCAGTAACATGACTCCTTGTTGTATGCTCACAGAATACCAAAATGCCAACCATAACTTACAGCCACACACAAACACATTCAGATTGCACATGCCAACTCCCATTACATTACACAAAAGTGTAAAAAAAAAAGAAAAAAAAACAGCATAGAGGAAGTTATCCCCTAAATATTATAGCTAGATCTGACTCAATAGGCCCAAAAGTCTACAGGAGATCTTGAGCTCACTATGAAACCAGTCTCCCAGTTATACTTCATCTTGGCAACACACCTTGTGTGTTTCTCTCTACTTCTCACCTCTTCTAGTTTGGCATGTGCTTTTAAATAGAAACAAACAAGACTTCATTAAGCCTTTCAAATGCACAGTTAGTAGCAGCATTTCGTGAGTCATTACATAAAGGTGACAAATACTTGAGGAGGAATATGAGCCACCAACTCCTAAAAAACATCAAAATGTTATGCATACAATTTGTGTTGGAGAGTAGTAGTATTATACATAGCAATGCCAGCCATCTTTACTTAATCTTATCCTTGGGACATCTTTGAAATTATAATTTGAAAACACAATCATTTCAATTGTTCCACTGATGGAGCTTGCTCTATAAAAATGTTTTTTCAACATTGCCTATAAATCTGTTTTGGGTTTTTCTTCAATTAAGTGCACACCAATGGTCCCTGTCCTCAGAAATAAGTGTGAAATACACATTACAGTGTGTTTTCGCCATGATAATCGTATTGTTTGATTAAAGCAAGACTATGCAAGTTTTATATATATATTTTGGATCATGGCCTTTTCCTTAATGCATTTGTCTGGAATACTTCTAGGCTTTCGGGAAATGTCCAAGTCAAGTGCCCTAACCACCTTGGCTTTCCCAAACCTTCTACTCTGAGATCATCCGTCTGTCTGTACTTTATACTTTCCTTCAAAGTAGTCCAGTAGTTCATAATCTCTTTTTGCCATTACCTAAGGTTAATGACTATAGGGAAGGTTTGGTACATTGATGGTCTGATAAATCAGTCCATCCAGAGTGCTGCCTTCAGGCTCCATTATCTCTTTACCAAAAAAATACAGCGTCCACATAATTGCAGACCTGGCATCTAAATGCCTATCAATCTTTTACTTCATCTCCCCTTCACTAATGTACAGGTAAAGAGGAAAGCTTTCCCAAGGTGGTTGAGCGATATAATACTCTAGTAAATAGAGTAAATCCTTTGTTTCAGTTTTTTAGAATCAGGAAATCTCATCGCTGTCTGCTTGTCCAGAGGCACTGTCGCTGACCCTTACATGACATTGAGGAGGCATCCCCACAATCACCAGTCACAATCACTTAACTACCAAGTTTTACCTCAGCTACGGAAATGTACACGGCATGCCTAAAGCCTCCAAACTGTCCAGCAATACTGTTGGTGCAGGCTAGCAGCTCTAATTCTATTTTGAAAGCATCATGGGCTGAGCCTTACCTCCAGTCATCTGACAGTTTGGCAGAACCTCAGAGGATGGCTGGCAGTCATTGGCCATGGCTTCCTTGAATACTCCCCTCATTCTGGTTTTTGTATTCATTACTACCAAAGCATTGGTGCTTAATGCCTCCTGCTATGTATCTTCTGCTTTATGAATCATTCAGGGCCAAACAAGCCCAAAATGACCCTTTTCACAGTCTGACGACCTCCTCCACCACTGATGTGTACCAGTGGGTTCTTTGGTCATCAGCACAAGGACAGGTGACCTAATATCACGTGAATCAAAGCACCAGGCTTTCACTGGGATTCAGGGGAAAAAATGGGAATTCTATCAAATTTTCATCAATATAATGGCAGCCTATGGGGAGAGTCCTTTAGCATTGCAAGAATATTTTTTGCAATACAATATATTGTCACCAGGGTATACTTGAGACAGCACTTGCCGGCACATATCCAGCTGTTTTTGATACATCTGTACTTTAAAGGACATGATTGGACCGCATGAAGGAGTCGACAATAACCTCACCTGAGATGGAATTTAAAAGGTGTAGTTCTTATTTTATTTAAGGGACAATCATTGAAAGACTTGTCTGTTAAATCCTACAACAGATAAAACACAAGCACAACAAGAGACATCATGCTGCCATATTGACTCTGTCAGTTTGTCACAGTAATATGGTAACATGTTCCAATCAGGATTTGTTTTTTTTTCTTCTACATAGTCTTGCTTTAAACACACAGTAACATATAACTCAGAATAACGTAATAGTGGCTTGGCTGCTGACACAACTGTAATAGAAAACCTGCCTTGTTTCCTTTTAAATTGTCATGTTGCAGGGCTCAAACAGCATTTCAAGAGTGTTATAGACGGCAGCTAAATGGAAAGTAATACAAAGCAGATTCATAAAACAATGGCACAGCAATAGCCGGAGGATGTGGCTCAATGCCTATATCCTGCAAAGTGCTACAATGCATACAGATAATGGAAGGGTCTGCTTAAGAGATAAGTAACAGGGAAAAGTGGGGTTACAGATTTGTTGGTTGAAGCTGTCCTGGGGGGTAAATCCCTGGTAGGGTGGGGGGATGAGGAAGAAACCAGCACAGTCGCTCAATGTAGGCAGATTCTTCAGAAGGATATCTAGGGATGATAGAGGAGACACAAGTTGTGTGTTAAACTCAGATACAAATAAAACAAGATGAGGGTTTCGAGTAGAAAACAGTATTTGATTTTTGGGTTAATCGCAGATTATTAGCTGGTCCAGTTCCTGGATCAGTGACAGCCAGCCTACACCCTTGGTAGAGGCATGCTTTTTGATTTGTTTACGTAGAAGTGTTGGAGGACGACAGTGTTCCCCACCTCCTTCTCCCCATTAAGGAAAAAGCAGAGGGGGAGGGGGCTATAAAAAGTTGACCCCATCTCAGCCCCACAGACTCGCTTCCAAGCTGGAGCTGCAGTAGCATCTGATCTCTCCGAGCAGCTGTCCTCTCCCTGCATCAGCACAACAAATACTTTACATTGCCTGACCTTTTCCTCCTGAATCACTATCCGAGCCATGCCCCCCCCCCCTTCCTCCGCACAGCACACACACCCCCACCACACACACACTCTGTGTTCCTCTTCAAACCACTACTCAACCCCATGCTAGGCCCCTGCCTGCCACGCACCCGGCTGACATGTATCCCTCATGCTCATGCAGTTGTATTACTGCTCTGACACATTAGCTGAGAATGTATTGTGACTAGTTGTAATTGTGTATAAGTATGTTTATACAATTGTATGAGAAACTGATACATTTATTTTTGCTTTTTATGTGTTTTTTTGAGTGTGCAGTTAAGTAAATTGATTCTTACTTCTCACTTTTGTAATTGTCTTTTTTCAAAACAATTTGACATTTAGCACACTATATGCTTAGGAGAGAGCATTAATCCAAAAATCAAAACTGAGATTAAATTGATTCTTGCTGTACTCTGACTGACAGTGAGATATGCAAAGGTTAGCATAATAATACAAGAAAGGCGGGTGGAAATGTTCAGGAAGTGTCACGAACAAAGATCAAACCCATTAATGAAATGTAATGTTATCTTTGTAATTAAAGCATTTATAAGAATAACTTGATGTAAGGTGTCACTTGCTGGAATAGTTTCCTGCGACACCTAACCCTGAGAATAAACCATGTAAACAAACTCGTCTCACACTATTAAAATAGCCCGACGATGTGTAATGCAGAGAAAAGGGAACTCGCTTGCAGGCCGCCGCTGAAAATCCAATCTCCCAGCATGCCCGGCTGCAGCTCAGAGGAGTCAAGTTACCTGTCATGAAGCTAGTGCATGTCTATTAACACTGACATGCCACTGCTGAAGCAGCCGAGCCGGACTGCTGATTTAGCATCATTAACATACATCAGGACGTTTACAATGATTGTTTGAGTGTTTCACTGTTGGCAGTGAGTCACCATGATTCAAAAGAGACATTGGCTTAATTTATTTACGACTATTAAGAGTCTAATTATGCTATTTAAAAGTGTGGTAATTGCATTTATCAGTAGCAGTATCTTCTAAAATATATTTTATAAAGTTGTTATTATTTTCATGTGTTTATTGAACATACAAAGTTTTTGTAAATCATAAGAAGCAGTCTTGAAATCAATGTTTTAACAAAAAAGAAAAAGATTTTTCAACATTTAAATGTTTCAGTTCAAAATACTTTTAAATATTTTCCAAAAACATTTTAAATCTAATCCACAACATACTAACCATCCCAGTCTGCTGATGATAAATAAAAAAGTTATTCATCCTTGAATGAAGATTATTTTCATTCATATAACACTGGTCTAAAATGTCCCCGCTGATAATCCTACTTGTATGTTTAACTTGACGGAATGAAGGATGTTACTTCATAGTTTGCTCACACACTCATTTGTTTCTTTGAATGTGTGACTAAAATAAATACAGGGAACAACGGTTCACATTCATAGTGACATTTGGATTGTTAATGCAACCAATAAGTCAGGGAGTTCTGAATAAATTGGCATTCTAAACTATGAGTAGTTTTAGAGGTTATTTCAACCACTTGGTATCCATTTGAAATCAGTATTAAGTGAAAAGCATTTCATTTGAAATAAGCCACAGTTTTCTGTATAACCAATTAAACATTGAGGAATTCATGTACTGTAAAACTGCTGGTCATGTTGTGATGTGCAACAAATAAAAATAAAATAGGTTTCTAAATAGTTGATTATGATGTATTCAAATGTTTAATGGGGTGGTAAAGGGCGGCACTGTTCAAACTCTGCCACTCTGATGAAAAAGTTGTAAAATAAGAGCCCACTTACATGTGTGAAGAGATTTTTTTTTTCTTGGTCACCGATGCTCCACTACAAAGCTCATTGTTGTTCCATCAAAGGAGGGTGGGGCGATGATTCTTGGACCTTGTTGCGTGGTGATGCTGATAACTGGTTTCCTGTCAGAGCTTACTGCACTTCCAGTGGTGGTCACATGTCCCAAGCTCACAGGCAGTGTTAATGGAGCGTCACCTGTTGCACTGTAATATGCGCTCTCTGGGCCTGGCGCATTAGCTTCCAGCCTGGGGCTTCTTGCGCTGTTCAACTTCTCTAGAGCTGCATCCTCAGAGAGACAGGGGGACTGTGCCAACACGGCCTGGGCCGGAAGAGTGGGCGAGGGGATGAAGCCGGGGTAGATCATGTAGGTGGGGCCGTATGCTCCTGGGCTCAGAGCAAGAGGGGAAACAGAGAGGGGCACGGGGGTGACAGGGGTGACAGGAGTGATGGGTGACACAGGAGAATGGGGCATGGGTACATCCAAATACTGGCCTGTCTCGGGATCGAACAGCCTCTTGGTGGTGGTCTGAATGGGGGTGTCCACCAGGTAATAATGTCCTGTGGTGGGGTCCAGAAGCATCTTGCGCTGTGTTTGTGAGGCTGTCTGTCCGGCAGAAGGTGTAGGTGACACAGTGGGGATGGAGGGAGAGATACACAACACCTGCTGTGCCGCTGGAGGCCCTGCTTGGGCCCTCCCATGATGGTAGATACTCGAAGCGGGGTACTCCATGATAATCGGAGGTGTTTTGCTGGTGACGTGGTTGACATTTGAACTCTCCCCTCTTGAAACGGGCTCTGGATTCTGCAGTTTGAGTTCATTCGTATAGCTGAGCCCCGGGATGGTTAGATAGTTTTCAGAGTCGGCACAGGCCTGTGTCACAGCCGGCTTAGCGGGAATGATTCTGACCTTTCCCTTTTCCACCTGGCCGAGTTTTGGCGGCTCTATTTTCACTGAGAGCGGAGCCGCTGGTGTCTTCGAGCTTTTCATGGAGGAGCAAGTCTGCAGCTCAGAACTTTGTGGAACGGAGTTATTAACTGAAGTGATGCAAACGCGTGCCTTGTTGCCAAAATGAAGGACACTTTTATTACTGTATGTCTGACTATGCTGTGATTGTGTTTTAAACGCCTCATCACTGTAGGGAACATGTATGATATCCTGAGCTCCTTTATCCTTCTGGGATTTGTCTGCGTCTGTGGTATGCGTCAGAGACGGATTTGTTGCTTCCAGCTCCTCTGCTCCATGCTCCTCTCTGGCAATAAGTGACAACACATGGCTGCCTGCGATTTGCGGCGGAGCCTGATTTTTGCGCTTCCATTCATTTCTATCAAAAACATAAAGCTGCTCCATTGTTTTGACCGCAGCTTTGAGCTTCTCTAGAGCAGCCTGTTTGGGTATTTTAGACTCACCTGCAAACTTTTCCTGCCTCTGCTTCGACAACTTGGTTTCAATATTGATCTGGCCGTCTGATTGGTCAGGGTGTAGCTGCTTAGCTGCAACAGGTGGCACCCTGCTTTGTGTGTTTTCCACTTGAGGTGTTTCCGATGTGACGCCTGCCTCTGTCTGTTTGTGTGACACCTCGGCTGCCTGTTGTTTAACATTTGTTTTAACAGAGTGACATTTAATCACAATGGGAGATGGTAATGAAAGCTTAACCGGCACCTTTGTGGCCTCGATTTTATCAGCTGCTGCTGAGCTTTTATTCTCAGTGTTATCCAAAGAAACAACGCGATATGAACTTTTGACCAGTTTGCGCACATCTCTGACTTGATAGATCGGTGTTTGAAACTTGCATTTTGTGTCTCTTATGTCTCTCACCGAGAAGTTTGGAATTTTATCTGAAGCAGACCAAATGTGGCATTTGGCATCACCTGCAGCCCTGAATGTGTTTACAGCGTTGTAAGTTATTTTTGGGGTTAGAAGGTTAGCGATATTTAGTGTGCAGCCTTTATTTTCTTTCACACTTCTCAGGCATATTTTTATCTCGGGGCTTTTCCCCCCCTTTTCAGTTTCTCCTTGTTCATATTTCTGGCCAGCAGGAGCACCTGTGACAGACGCACCGCCTGGAAGGTCCTCTGTCGAATCTTTCTTTTTGGAGTGGAGCTGGTAGCTTGGAACAAAAAGCAGTTTTGTCAACATGCTGTTGGTGTCTAAAGTTTCTTTTGCTCTGGTCTGTGGGTCATCAGGCGTGGATTCAGAATATTTTGCAACTTCTGTCTCACATTCTTTCAATTTATTAAACGCACTAGTTTGACTTTGGCTGAGGGTGGATTTTGGAGCTGTGTTTTCTAACTCATCTGGTGCTTTGTTGCTCCTCTGCTCCTCTGCTGGATCACAGGAAGGAGGTCTGCTGCCCTCCTGGCGCTGATCATCAGAGTTAAATCCTGAGCCTGACTCTGAAGCATGTCTTCCTCGCTGTCTGTCTTTGAACACATTCTGATCTTTGAATTGAGAATTTGGTGAGAGTGCAGGGTATGTGTCACGGATTTCTCCCCTCTCCATTTTGCGCTCCTGCTCAAACTGCATCTTTTTAGAAATCACGTTTTTTAGCAGGCTTGAAGCAAAAACTGCCCTTTTGTGAGGGTCCCCTGTATTATCTGTTTGGTGATAATGCATTTCGCACCCTGATGCGGCCAACACAGTCCCTGTGATCTCATTGGGTCGCGGATGCTTCGAGCATTTTGGACGTCTGGCACCTTCAGGCGCTTCAACATTGCAGCGGAAGTTCAGCGTGACCCCACGCTGCTTTGCCTGATCTGTCAGTTCAGTGTTTTTGCTGGAAGAGGAAGATTGCTGGGATGTGCTCTTGTTCAGTGTGCACATTTTGTTTTTTGGAGCTTTTATGCCGGCAACAGACTTACCCTGCCTCTTACTGTCCACAGTCTTATTCATTTCCAATGTTGCGCGTGAAGACTTGTGCGCCATTACGCCGCGCTCTCCTCCTCGTGTTATGTTTCCATAGTTCCAGTCCACATATGCTGACCATTTATTTAGCCCATATTCCGACATCGAAGACTCACTAGAGGTGCTAAGATTAATGGCATCGAAGTATGGGCATGCCAAGCTCCGGAAAGACTTGGCGGTTAGATTACGCACCTCTTTATCCGCGTCATCCAACTCACTGATGGAGCTCGACGCTCCGCTGGAATACTCATTAATATCTTTCCGTCTCAGTTTGGTTGCAAGGTGCTGACGTCCCGGCGCAGGGATGAAATATTGTGCCCTATCGCACAGGGGCCCCGCACTGGCGCCAGAGCTCACGAAGGAGAATTGGCTCCTGTCTCCAAAGTGTTTTGTGTACCCACAGGTGCTCTTGTCAAAGATGTTCACAGGCTCATTCACCGCCCTCGAGGATGTTTTAATGGATAAATGGATTTTCCCCTTATTAGTGTCTCCACTTTGGTTTTTACTCACGCTTTCATCTGAGCTGGCGCCTTTATCCGAGTCACAGAGATCACTTTCGTCCTGCTCCGTGCTGACAACCGCTCCCCCGAGATTAGACTGCACATTCGGCTGGCTCCTGCCCTCCAGGATCAGAGTCCCCTCCTGCGTGTCGTCGCTCTCAAAAGACGCGTAATCCACAAAAGAGTAAACCAGGTTGTTGTCTTCGAAATCCCAGCAGGTCCCTCGGCCCAGGTCGTAGTCTACATCGTGGTCGAGCTCGGTAAGCTGGATCTCGTGCGTCGTGATATAGTGGGACTCGTCCTCCACGGTGTCGGAGTCGCAGTGGTCGGAGCCAGCGGTCGCGCTGGCACCGTCATCAGACTCGGTCTTACTGTTCAGATACATGTCCGTGTACTGGAGCTCCTCGCTTTCACTGCAGTCACTCGGGTCTGGCTCGGTCCGGCACTGCTTCTCATTCTCAAAGTCCGGATCCGTGTCTGGAAGTTTGGTCAGAGTTTCCAGAGTAGGGTCACCCGAAACAGGCCATGGATCGGTGGCCCGCTTGTCCTCTGACTCAAAGAAGTCCTCCGAAATGATTTTAACCTCCTTGTCATGCTCCCCTTTCTTTGCTTTTTCGCATTTCACAACAGACAGTTGGTTTCCCTCGCCAGTGAAAGTCACTTTCACTGTTTTTGCGCCGTCCGGTTTCATGTCCAGATCCACATAGTTGGACACGTCGCTGTTTGTCTCTGCGGGGTGGCCTTTCTTGCTGTCCGTCGTTTCGTGCCCGTTGTCCTCTGGGAGCAGCTTCCTGTAAAGTCCGGTGTCATCTCGGTAAGTGAGAGTTTCCTCCGCTGCTTCCATTTAGTCCGGTCTTATCGTCAGGTGGTCCGCGTTTACGATGTTATCCCCGACACAGGACGGAAAACTCTGCGAGCTTTAGGGACGAGAGGGCTAAGAGCGAGGAGGAGGGGGTGGGTGAGGGAGGGAGAGAGAGAGAGAGAGAGACGGGGAGAGAGAGAGACAGAGACTGGGGGAGTCCCAAGGAAACCCTGGTGGTTCTCTCTGGTGTGAGTCTCACTAAGTTTAACGATCAAACTTTTAACAACAAGCATGTGGCCTGCTCAAACTTGCCTCCAAAATGCGCAAAGATTCAGCACCTTTCTCAGGAGAACAGCTCCCCAAACATATTCACATTTTCTGAGAACTGTTCTTTTTCTATGATTACTACAACACTTAATCTGTCTCTTAACTCTATATTCACTCCTGGAAAGTAAACGGTTGAATCCACTTTACTATGAGCTTTTTTTTTTTGTAAGTTCTATGTTAGTCAGTTACACAAAAAAAGTGTATTGTGAACTGCAACTGAAGGAAAAAATGACTTTAGACTTAAAAACATGGTTACTATAAAATGTTGGTAAGGATAGTAAGGTTGTTAACAACGTAAAACATCAAAGTAAAAACATTCCAAGTTAAAGGAAGATAAATCACTAAGCCATACCTTTAGCAATCAAGAAGTCAATGATCTATTAAATAAAGTTTGTGTAGCAGATTGAGATGTTGGGCTGCCATATGTTCCATTCAGATCCCAACTCAATGACATTGTAAAACGTTGCATTTCATAGCATTGTGGCTCGTGTCATATGGCAACTTGGAGCGTCAACAAAATAAACCTAGTTTTCAAATTAGACTGTTCAAAGCAGCCTTCACACATTGACATAGTGCCATGAACATGTAGGCTGACAACACACAACAACACAATCTAGTCTAGTATGCAAGTGTGTTTCATATTGAATGAACAGAGCAGTAAGTTACTCAATTATTGCACTAATGGTATTTGTGAGGCCAAGCCTGCCATCGGTGATACCCTCTCTCTAAAACAGCTGCCTTTCCTTGACTGAGTGAAATATTCAACACCAGCTGGTGCCAGTCACTTTAGAGAATTTATAAATTCATCTGTTCATCTGTAGCTTTGGCCTGAGATTTGTGTCAGCCGTGTGTTATCTAGTTCAACCGTTGGGCCATGCGAGACTCGTGGGAGTTTGGACAAATGAAATGAAGGATTGGATAGCGGTGTTAGGAACAATGGAGAAGAATGCTGTGTTGCGTGGTTATGATCTGGTTATTAAGGCCTCTGTCAAAGTGTTGAAGACACAAGTGTTGTTTCTGGACAGGGCCCCAGATTGGTGGTATGTAGCAGGGAGGGGTCGGGCCAACAGTTGCTTCATGTTGAGGGCACACTGTCAGTAATATCAAGGACAGAGGCCACCGGTATAAAGCCTCTGCCGCCCTCCACTCCCACTTTTACAATCGGTGTCAGTAAGGTGGTGTTAGCGCTTATGTGAATAATAAATAATCTGGATATCAATCAGTGGTGGAAGTTGGCTTATTGTTAGTTTCTATGTGTACTTCAAGTACACACCCAAAGGGAAACATTGTACTTATCAGTAAACTTTAAAGGAATAATAGTTTATTTAATAAAAAACAAAGGTTTCTGTTTCAGCTCAAAATGGGTGGGCACCTTGTAACACTTGAGACGCCCATTTCTGTTTTTCCACCATACATTTGCAGTAAAGTCCCCCTACCCTAACTCGTACCCTACTCGTTCCTGTTGGCCTGCTTTAACATGTAGTCCTGTTTTGTGTTTCCTCTGGAGACAGGAGTCCTCTCCATAGACGGGGGGGGGGGGCGGGGGACGGGACGAAGCAGTTGGTGCCACATTAGTATTGTGACATCATCTCTAACAGTAAACATGCAGAGGAGCGTCTGTACTTCATGATCATCAGAGAAAAAGAGTTGTGCACAGACAATTTGGGTTTAGGTTTAAGTCCTGATCCTGTTGGCCAGACATTAGAGTAAAGTATTCATAGCTCGCTCTACATGTCCCATGTCGGTGTGACAGGTACGTGAATCGGTTTGTTACAAAAAAAACGGCTTGAATGTTGAGGCTATTTTTGTATCATCCACCGAAAAATGAGCACTTCTTCCATATTTAAACCGTTTTATAGACCGCTTGCTGCAGGCCCTTCACTGTTCCCCAGGAGACCCCAATCAATGCAGAAACCAAGTCCACACGCTTCCTTAGCAATATTATTAGCAGCACCACCATCATAACATGAAACTCTTCTTCTACAGCGTTCCTTTTATCTGCACAGAAAGATTTTTGTTTATGACACTCTTAGTTCATTTTGCTATTCAGAATCTTAATATTTCTTCTGCTGTGATGTATGAACTTTCTGCATTTGTGAGTTTATCCGCTGATTTGCAGGAACAAACAGTGAACTACTTGAGGCCATGACTCAAGCCTAGATTTCACGTCTACTCATTCTACATTTAATCATTGCTTTTTATACTGTGAAATGTTGTATTCAATTTGCAGCTTGGCACATGAAATGATCGAACTATAAAAGTGATGAAACAAATCAAAAGAACTGTAAACATGTCAAAATGAATGATTTAACAGCACAGCTTGTCTTTTCTACCTCAGTAAGATAAATATACACTCCTAACAAACCTAATATGGACACATGTTGGCTTGTAATCTCTACTTCCTTGAAAACATTAGATTTTCTCTTTCCCTGTCAAAACAAGAACACACACGCAGGTCGGACTGACCTCTACAAAGCTGATAAATTTAGGCAGCTATTTAAAATGGGGACAGCGCACACGCAAGCATAGTTGAGATCAGTTTCTTACAGTGGCTACATTAAAACAGCAGGTGTTAAATCATGAGCGCCATTAATCAACGCCACCAACAGTCCACGTGAGGACCTTTTCAACCCGGGCTCTGAACCCAACCCCCCCCCCCACCCACCCACCCATCAGATTTTGATTCAGAGCTGAGTCACCGCTGAGAATTCATATACACAAAATGTACCTGCTCTAAAAATAACAGTTTGACTGTGAAGGTCAAGTTAAACAGTAACACAGCAAATCTTCTAGTGTTAACAAGTGTTGATTTTACCGTGACAGATTCTCCGAGTTGACAAGTGGTGGTCACACAGTTGTTCATCTCCTCAGAGCTAACATGTGGGACTTCAAAGCTCCTTGCATACTCCAGTGGGTGTGAACTTACGGGGGAGCCTGAAGATTTTCAAGTATTTTAAAAACATTTAAAAAACATTTTTAAATTTGTCCAACCTTAAGAGCAGCGGTAAGAGCTCTGGCTTCAGCAAACTAACAGCTGTCCTCATGGCTCTATTGTTAAATCAAAGTGAGATCATGGAAAACATGAAAGTAGACCTGCAAATGTGTTGGGGAGTTGTTTACATAATTAAGAGAAGAATTTAATGTCCTATTGTCATTGCAGCACATGCACAACAATATTGCTGTGCATCTAACACAAAGAACAACATTTGCCAAATACCCACATGCATTCCTCCACACACTTATGTACATCCATGATATTAATAATTGCAGCCAGTCTTATAGGACCTTTGGATATTATTGCACCTTATCTTTATATAATTGCATTATTTTGCCAATACTAATCACTAATACTTTTCTGGGGCTGCAACAAATGAAGAGTCTTCATTGTTAATTGTTGTTTTTTTTCTAGATTCATCGATTTGCTCTTTGTTCTTTACAAATGTCACAACATGTTGATCAGTTTTTTAGAAACACAAAGTAACTTCCTCAAATGTTTTGCTTATCCATAACTCAAGGTTTTTTTTTTGGTTTTTTTTCTCGCGTTCTGTGTTCAAATAAAATACTCAAACAGATTCCTCATCTTTGTAATGTTCTTAATAGCCGACAACTAATGGGTAATTTGTTGCAGAGATAACATGAAATAAGTTTTGGATTTTTTAAAAAGTTTACTGCAGAATTACAGACGATACAGACTTGTTAATGCACGCATAATACTGATTCAATATCTTTTGACTTTCCTGCTAGATTGTGCCGTCCAGCAGCCCCGTGAGAGTCTGCTACCGAGCACTGAGTCATCTGCAGCTCCTGAGAGGGAACAGGAGAAGTTATAGAGCTGGAACACCTGCTGTGAAGCAGTCACCAGCAGCCACACTCTGCACTTCTCCAGGTTACCCCCCCCCCCCCCAACATGCAAGAGTTTCATGGTTCAAAGGGTCAAAGATCATCTTTGGATGTGAAAGTGTCAGAAGTGAGCTAGTTTGGTGGATGTAAGGGATTAAAGTGTTACGCTAAACCCTGGATAATGACAATTCACTTAAGGAGTAAAAAATGACCAGAGTGTGTATTTCGGTTTAGGGTTCACCAGGTTTGACAATTTATAAATAACCTTTTTTAGAAAGCAAGGCATCCGTAACCTAAATAGCTATGCCAGTAAGACAGGCCATTTCATCATGTTCTGTGAAGTTCTTTTAATTATACAACCCCCATAAAATCAAAAATAAATTATTCCAGCTTTTACAAAAATGCAGGTTTGTCTGAAGCAGGTGTGACCTGACTTTTTAGTGGCTGTCAAGTACCGACTAATAGATAGTTGGAGAATTTACCAAAAATTAAAAAAACATTATGAAGTGCTTTCATGTGTGTGAAGATGTATCATCTTACATGACAGTTTTCAGTGTTTCTGCTGTATGTGTACATTATTGGAGTAATCATAATAATGATAAATTAGACTTTTATAGCGCTTTTCTAAATACTCGAAAATGCTTAACAATGAATAACAACACAAACAAAACAAGTAGCTGTAGCTTCAGTTTCCAGCCCATCTCTTTTGTTTTTGATTTGTGCATAATTTAAGACAACAAGTACATTTTATTATGTACATAACGCTTAGGAGCAGACGACAAAACATGAGGATAATGTAATAATATATCACTCACTGTGTCAGTGAAAATAATAAACAATCATTGCTCACGTCTGAGAACAGCAAGCTCTGCCGG